TTAGGTATTTTCCGCTCTGGTACTCATATCCACGTCTTCTCTCTGGGCAGCGAAAACTTTGCTGATATGTGACTCGGTCGAAATGACTTTTTTTGGCCCCCCTGTATAGCGTACACAAAATGGGAAAACAGGAAACAAGAAGAGGAAAGGAGGATTAGGATTTTTTTTTCGTGGAAAGCAACATCCACAAAAAAAATCGTCACGGCTCTGAAAAATTCCTCTCAACGCCAATTACATTCCCGTAGATCAAATTCGACCCCCTGATGAGATTCTCCCAATGATGCTGTACCATGCTGCCATCCGCTGCACAGGCATTAGCTTCGAGGCTACCTGGGAAGACCTATTGAATGATATGGTTTGGCCAACTCACAAATGCAGATCAGGGTTTCAAAACCTCATGCTTAGAACTCACTGGACAGACGCATAAATTAATTAAGTAATTAATTAAATCACAGAAATAGCCGAAGATGATGTCATGAAGATTTCAGTGGGAAGCGGGAAAAGTTCAAAGAGTAGGATTAGGATTACAATATCCTGATCGTAAAGGGTACAAATTCACTCTTGAATCACGATGGTTCTAGTCAATTTCGTCCGGAAAATTCAAACCATGCTTTGCACTTCTCTAAGCGAGACCTTCTCCATGCTTAAAAAACTATGTACGAAAAAAAAGTGGAACGCAAATGACAAGCATTGGGAAAATACGCCTTTGAACAGTGTCATATACATCGCCGATAATTTATCTTTTCGAAGTGCACATGTTTTGACTTGCATTTGAATTCGTAAAAATCTTTTCTAACTCATAGAAAACACACCCGTTTGTCAAGTTTATCCGTTCTTCAAAGGAGAAGTTCCGCAGTACTTGCTTCAAAAACACCCTATCCAACTCTCTTCGGATCATATCGATTCGTTCTCGTGTTGTGCCAGGTAGAATGGGAATCTGTGATAAAATTTTCGAAGCGTTCATATTCGTATCATAAACTTGAAGACGAAAGGTAACCGAAAAGTATCTATACGGCCAATTTGCGATGCGCGACTAAGGAGGAGAGAGAGCGAGTAGGGAGAATGCGGGAATTTGTGAAAATCAGCATTAGTTGACCCCCATCTGATCCCTTTTTCGCCGACACTTCCGAGTGGACTGTCCAAGTAGGTATACTTTCCTTCCCATGTACTATCTTCCAAGCAACCAATCCTCTCGAATCGCCGATCCTCAGTACGGTCTAATATGCTGTGGCTAGTTTCCGGTCATGTTACCCAGCCGCACTTGGCTTCGCAGCCCATCGCGAACGCTGACGTGATGCCAAGCTTAAAAGCGTTGTTCGCTGCGGATGCTGGGTCGTATCACGAAGGCTGAGCGAGGCGCAGGATACAGCATCGTTGTGTGAAACACGTAGGTGGTCGTACTTTTTTCTGTGAGCAGGGGGAGAGCTCGTAT